ACGAACAATCTATGTTGAATAGAATCCCTAGTCAGGGGTATGATGAATCAGAGGGGATAGCAAAATTTACCGAAATAATCAGAGAACCAGTTTGCCCGGATATGGAGTTTGCACAGGCAACGAATCCAAATCAGGTCCTAGATTATCCTAATGAGTATGAGGCAGATGCATGTTTTCAATTTAATTGTTTCGCAGGTGAATCGAGCCTAGATGAATCACATGTGTTAATTACATATATCAATGCATATCTATTTGTGTATTCTAATATGAATAAGAAAAAGAATAGGTGTCATGATTTTTATTCAAGTCAAAGTCACAGGATGGAATACCTCAAATTATATATCAGTGTGTATCCCCAAATATTCACATACAGTAATCGAGATTTGAGAAGATAATGCAAATTCAGAACGTCATATTAGTTATAACACTGTGACATAAGGAACCAACTTGACTTCATGGGGAAGAATAGTGTTGGAAAGTCTATAATGCAAATTCTAGATATCAGTGGTTTCACTACACAACCGATATGATGATTGTACACTATTCCAGGAATCAAATTAGTCTTTACCAATTACAGTTGTTAATCCTGATACTAACAATTACATTCTAGACAATACAGGGTCCATATCCGATACACTGTCGAATAGATGTAAGATGAAATTAAGAAGAAGACGTAGAATCGATTACGCTTACACTCCAAGTTAGGCTGTGGCGGATGTAGTGTTTATATAAACCAATGATTTCTTTGAATTGATAACGGTTTCCATTTCGAATTTCAAATACAGTATATTCCTTCGCGCTCATCTAATACTTCTTAAATATTGCTAGGATTATTAGTTCATACTATAATTCCAGTAATCCAAATTATCACAATAATCTATCCTACTCTGACTGATGATGCATGGTACAAACCACTAGATAATGAGATTGCCAAATGTTACTATCATCAACGTATCTTTAAAGTATAGTGTTATACATCTCACTCTGTGTCTGGTAAGGTTTAAGTTAATAACCAGTGAGACTCGTTTTCAAGTTACTCAGAAACAACATGAAACCGAATAGTTAACAAACAATTTATCTTTTAAAAGTTTCCTACAAAAATAGACTTTTTAAATTGGCAAATCTTCAATACTAATTTATTTCAAATTCTCAGTAATGATAAAACGTTATACTGCACACTGGGTTCAATGTCCTTCATCTCCTCCCATGATAATGATCTTATTCGCAAACAATTTTGCGATGTTGTCCTGAAAGGGATGTTCACCTTATCACACACACACCATCTACCGTGCTCTACCTTCACAAATCTAATCATGCATCTAAGAGATCATTTCGATTATAGAATTTCAATAATCCAATGAAACAGTAGTACAGTGCTTCCAGATTTTCACAAGTGCTTTATGTAAGATCTATCGGCAAGTACAACAGTGAAAATATTAGGAATATTACGAATACAACAAATCATCATTCATGTGAAATGGACTACACCGTAACATCTTCTGTTACACAGCCTCAATTTCGTTGCCACCATAACTGCAAATGGAAGCAAAATCAATTCGATCCCATCCAACATGAAATACCAGTTCTCAAATGTACACTGTACAACACTAAGCAACGAAATACTATGACGTGTGGAAGTCGGTCAGGTTCACACATTCTGATTGTCAGCTTGAGAATAAATCACGTCTGCTACTCACATACTCGTCGCTCCACATAAGACAAAACAGAACTAGGTAGTCGAAGTCAATTGATTGCCCATCCACAAACGATAAGTATACGGTTAAAAAATAATCGAAATCAGCTCTATGAAATACCAGTGAATATGTGAAAGTAAGGCGTGGAGGTGTTTGTGATAAGGTGAAGGTCACTTTCAGGACAACATCCCAGAAAATGTTGCAAACAAGATAAATATCATTAGAAGAATGATAAGACGTCGAAATTAGGAAGAATCGGAACGGTTTTCATCGCACACCCTCGATATTACACTGATCTCGCTCCGTTAGTCAGATTAAAATAACGTATCATGTTGAATGAAACGTGTCCATGTTGTTGAGAGATTGGTTGTTTGTTTGTGAGTTGTAGATACTAGATGAGAGTTATTGTTTTATTAGTGATATTTGATGTACTGTGGGTATGTGAAATATAATATATAAATATATACATATGTCTGGACAATAACAGCGAAATAAGAATTCCTGAAAGCGTTTCATTCCCAATTTACACTGGTTTCAACGACGACACATCAACTGAATGATCACTATTTTCACAACTATTCGTTGTAATATAAGAAAGATGAGATTAAGTATTGTGAGTGTTGAGTTAATTGATATATTGTCAGTATTCTCGAAATAGTTGGTGTGAATACATGAAAATAGTCAATTTTAAGACTGGAAATTAGGCGTCGACATATAGAGATATGATAATGACAGGGTTATTTTCAGGTAGACGTAAACGACTGCTGGATACATATGTCATTGTAACGTGGTCCTAACCTTCCTTTATATCTCCCTCAATCTATCGTTTTTGAATACCTAATTACTTACTCATTCAAGTCTGTTACTCCTCATGGAGCGTAGACCGACGACCAGGAATTTTCAATCTACTCCTTTCCAATTATGTTTCACAACTACTAATTATCCATCGTTACAACTTTCAATTATTCTCTTCTTAATATCTATCTTGTGAACGATTATCTTCACTGATGTTCACCTTCAATCTCCTGCTGGCATGCATTCCACTTCCGATTGATTGTAGCCGTAATAGTAGTAAAAGGGGTTTTAGTATTATCATTATTAGTAGTATTAGTTTCAGTAGTTATAGTACAGAAAGGGTGAAGGTGATTTTAGGGACAAGGTCGGAGAACAATTGACAAGAAGATCGATATCACTGTTACAAATTATAAATGTGTGTTCGATTTTTTATAACTAGTCACTCACTCATCACATACAGATTATTTCGATGGTTGAAGAATAATTTAATGACTAATATAGAGTTGGAATTCAAAACAACAGTTTGATTCTCTCAGTGTCTCAGTATCAAAATACCACATGTCCACTATTCACCTATGTACCGATTGAAAATGATAAAATTGGATTTTGTAACACGAATGTGCCTCAATAGATGATCTATATATTTATTATTTGTCAATGCACATCAATGTGTGAGATGATATTTGATTTAGGTCACTACATTTACACCAAAATCACTGAACAATAAAATATTGTCCAATCTCTGTCATTGATTGGCCAGTCGATTGAAATTTAAGCTCCAGTCGAACTGGAACAATGTACAATTGAAATGACTCTTAAATCTGGAATCGTGAAGAGGACTAATGAGAACATTGTCTTTTAGAACATGTTTCAAACAAGAGCATTTCGATTGTCAAATCAATTGCTTAATTGATGGACTTTCAAATCACGTTGCTTATCTTTCACTAGAAACACTCTATTGTTCATAGTCAAAGTGACCATCATGCTTTGTTTATTCGACAGTGTTATATGATAGATGGTCTAATACAGAAGTAAAGCATTCACATGTTCCAACACAGACGTGTTTGAACAAGGAGTTTTGTTGCTCACTGAGTCAAAGTTTTCAGAAACATCTGTACCTTCTGGCTCGTGGAGAAAACACTCACACTGATATCGACAGTTTGTGCTTGGAAACTTAATTTCAAAAGACCATTGAAACTGAATAATGTTTACAGTGTGAAATTATTTACTATTCTACCGTATATGTTTCCAAACGATATCCAAGAATTCCAGATTCTTAATGAAGCCTATCTCAATTGAGATTCCCACCCTATAAGTGTAATACATGCTTCAAGTAACTCTCTGAGTGTGTGGAGCAATTTCCTCTTCGCGACCAGAGTACAGAGGCATCTCTCCCGTACTTAGCCATTGTTGTCCAGCTTGCGTTTAATGTTTTTCACCGATTCCGAGCAATGCCAACTTGTAACTCCCCATTTCTATTGCTACATTACTGGTCTTTCCGGTCTCCCACATTGTCCGGAAGTTCCATGTATCTATAAAGAGTGTTGCTCTGGTTGTTAGAAGAGGCATCGGCCTCGCGACTTCGAAAGAATCTCGACTTTCATCATTTGGTGTCATAATTATTCCTTGAACTCGGAAAGAAGGGTTTAAATAGTTTGAATGATTTTTCCTGGTTAGCGTTTTTTTGGCGATTTAGTTTACTACGGGATGACGTCGCTAAACTCACGCCCAACACTCCCCATTTGTTTGGGCTTGGGACAGGTAGTAAATATAAACAATAAATGTAAAAGTGAATATGCAGCACAAATTGTCATTTGAAGATTGACTGAAATGGCATGATTATTAATACAGACTTCACTTAACATCCAGTCGAGTGGACAGTCCTATTCAACATACACTTCGAGGCTCGTATGATCTCATTCCCTGATTATACAGTATGGATCATACAGATCAAATTCTATCAATTCCGAAGCATTAAGTCAACATTTTCACTAGACTAATCCACTTCTAGGATTACCCAAAGCTCACAAACGGTCTGGATAAATGGTCAGTTCGTTAAGAAGAACAAAAACAATCGACACATACCAGGGATAATCTCGTGTCTACTGCAATCCCATGATGTATGGTAATCTATACTTACATATGAGCCATTCTCTTGCCAATAAAATCATCAAAACTAAGCCTTCCGATTAAGCCACAATTTATTCCAATTTTGAATGGGTGCACTCCACACAGATACCGGTAACTAATCTTCATAAGCAATCGTTGTTGTCAATAAACGACTATTTGCATCTAAACAAAATGAGCGCTAGTTAGCGTCACACATCAAACTTCATTACACCGACATCAATATGAAATTCGTTATCGTGAAAGCACGTTTCACATCGGATCCTAATCTGATAGATGACAATGTTAAAGCACGAATACAACTCGAACAACCACCTGTTTTCCAATCCAATCAATTACTTAGACTCATGCCACAACAACTTCACGATTGTAAAAGCAAACAGCAAATAAGTAAATAAATTTATTCGGAAATTAACACAAACATATAAGGATGATTGTCACCCTCATTATTATCATCATCATCATCAGAATCAGAATCATCGTAAATCCAGTCCGTATTATTTTGCTTCTAGTGGGTAATCGCATGTTGCTTCTCCAATGGCGCCTCCAAAACCAATGTATTGCCAACTACCTGAGCAGAAACAGATAACGGATCAACTGTCTCTGGAATCGCATACGACTGACTGAACTCTGCAAATGAGCTCGACCTTCCATGTTGATCACTCTTCTGTTTGTGATGACGTCCACTAACCACAACACGATTCGAATCAACATTCACACACAAGTCTTCAGGTTTGTACACTGGGTCCACTGGAACTTCAACATGCAGTCGCTTCCCACCTGAACCATCATCCACATACGACAGACCATGAACACCTAAAATGGATAGGAAAACATACAAATGTTATGAAAATGCAACACGCACAAACGAGAATAACACACCCACCAGATCACCATCAACACACACATGTCACATCTAAGTCAATCACAACTCCTCTCACCTTTCGCAACAAGAGCTTGTGATGCAGGAACTGCCTTAATCTGATTGTCCGACTTCGGTCGAACAGCCACCTGACCAGACTCGTTCAGCGTCAACGACTGGTTCTGATCAACCTTCACTGGAGCCTCCAACATCAAAACACCATCCTGAAACAAACGTACAGAATAAGATGGAACGAAATATCCAACTGTTCTAACATGATTCGAAATGCAAACAACTACAAATACAACACACATAATAACACCAGCAACCACGGTCGCCAACTCAGTAACTTACATCTGTCATGCGACATTTCAGTTGACTATTATCAATACTCTTCGGCAGCTGCACCATACGGCAGAACTCCCGACTACACTTCCCACCATCGGTCGTCGTCTCCTTCTTCGCGTGTACCGTCACACGGTTCTCACTCGACGTCACATTGATGTCCTGAGGAGCGAAACCTTGTGCATCGAATCGTACTTTGAAATGTACCTGCGCAATAAACAACAACCATAATAACACTCCTCAATCCATGGCCATATTCGAACCAGTTGCAAAAAACACTAAACACAACCTACCTGCTTGTCAACACGGACTCACCTTGCCATCCTCACCAACTTCATAGGCGTCCTTCAAAAAGTCACTCACTGAACCGGTCGACGGCACATCCAATGACCCCATTCTCTCTCGGATATCCTGGATATGACGATCCATTTGGTGCATTAAAGCGAATGGATTTTCCAGAATCCCGTGGGTGAAAGTATCCAATGGCTGAAATTCAAAGTACAAACCGAAATCATCAAATCTCTCCTCGAATTTAATGCAAAATTTCCTCACACAATGCATTATTGCATTCCTAATATACACAAATAACAAACATTATCTCACAAAATCATATGTATTAATGATCACCTGAATAATGAATAGCCAAACTCACCAATAGTGCAAACATTCCACGTCTCAAACGTCGCATATCGTCATCCCATCTCTTCCACGAGGAGTCGATCCAGTTGTCCACTGTACTCGGCCAGTCTTCCGTGTATGGTGCGATTGAGTTGCCACGATGAGCACCACCCCCATGTTCCAGACCAGTTAATAAGTCACGTCTTTGTTTCTCAAATGACCGTTGCTCACGATTCACAGGAATACTAACTGCATTATGTTGTTTAACACCAGACATATTGAACACAACAACAGAAGTAGAACAGCAATATGAATTGAATGTTCACCGTTTAACTCACTTATATAATAGTGGGTGAGAGAGATTATCCAATAATCTCCAGACAGGAAACAACCAATCAGAACACTAACATTTCTACAATGTAATTATGTCCAAATCTGATTGGTGATTGAAGGACATTTTCTCAAAAGTTCTCGATTTCTCTCGTCCTGTCTGGTCTACGTCATTACATGTTTGCTCTGTGTCAACACACACTACACCTTATTTACTAGAACTCTCTAGAAAACACTCCGGAATTCTAGTGAAATCCTAATGCTTCCATACTAATGCTATTCACTACAAATCACAACTGACCATTAATGATGTCGAATTTGATAATTTTATTTCTATACACATTCATGGTTATTTGGCAAGAATTTCCAAAGCACTCAAATTGATTAGGTGAGTCTTGACAGGATCAATCGGGAATAGTCAACAGACTGTTTATTTGTTCAGCTCATTTTCTTTTTAGTTGAAAGCAGGCATCTTAGGTTTTTTGGTGAAAACTGAACTATAAACAGTGATTTTCGTATAAAACAATTAAAATCTTCAAAGTTCATGATACGTCGTACTGAGTGCTAAACGATCTCCTGATGGTCACCTGGAGTACAATTTTAAATTTTGTGTATGTCAACCGTTGACACTGTAATTATCGGCACATTTACCTGCTTGGTGAGGTCACCCATTATCGTTGATTTTGACTATGAACAATAGAGTGATTCAAGTGAGAGATAATCAAGGTGATCTGAAAGTTCATCAACTAAGCAATTGATTTGATTGCGGTAATCCACTGAAATAAATTCTCACATGTTTAGTTTACAAATCCGAATACTCTTGTTTTAAACACGTTTTTAACAATGATATCTATCTTCTTGTCAATTGTTTCATACGTTGTTCTTAAAATCACCTTCACCCTTTTTATAAAAGTACTACGCTTACTGATACAATCAAATAAATACAACTAGAAGAATTTACATATTTTGTAATTCACTGATTCTTTTTATACTATAGGGTGCACTAATTCCTTGTTCTTTAAAACATCTTTAACATATAACCGTTGGATATTATCAGAAACATTTTGATAACAAGTCACATTCAACCTTTCTGTACTATAACTACTGAAACTAATACTACTAATAATGATAATACTAAAACCCCTTTTACTACTATTACGGCTACAATCAATCGGAAGTGGAATGCATGCCAGCAGGAGATTGAAGGTGAACATCAGTGAAGATAATCGTTCACAAGATAGATATTAAGAAGAGAATAATTGAAAGTTGTAACGATGGATAATTAGTAGTTGTGAAACATAATTGGAAAGGAGTAGATTGAAAATTCCTGGTCGTCGGTCTACGCTCCATGAGGAGTAACAGACTTGAATGAGTAAGTAATTAGGTATTCAAAAACGATAGATTGAGGGAGATATAAAGGAAGGTTAGGACCACGTTACAATGACATATGTATCCAGCAGTCGTTTACGTCTACCTGAAAATAACCCTGTCATTATCATATCTCTATATGTCGACGCCTAATTTCCAGTCTTAAAATTGACTATTTTCATGTATTCACACCAACTATTTCGAGAATACTGACAATATATCAATTAACTCAACACTCACAATACTTAATCTCATCTTTCTTATATTACAACGAATAGTTGTGAAAATAGTGATCATTCAGTTGATGTGTCGTCGTTGAAACCAGTGTAAATTGGGAATGAAACGCTTTCAGGAATTCTTATTTCGCTGTTATTGTCCAGACATATGTATATATTTATATATTATATTTCACATACCCACAGTACATCAAATATCACTAATAAAACAATAACTCTCATCTAGTATCTACAACTCACAAACAAACAACCAATCTCTCAACAACATGGACACGTTTCATTCAACATGATACGTTATTTTAATCTGACTAACGGAGCGAGATCAGTGTAATATCGAGGGTGTGCGATGAAAACCGTTCCGATTCTTCCTAATTTCGACGTCTTATCATTCTTCTAATGATATTTATCTTGTTTGCAACATTTTCTGGGATGTTGTCCTGAAAGTGACCTTCACCTTATCACAAACACCTCCACGCCTTACTTTCACATATTCACTGGTATTTCATAGAGCTGATTTCGATTATTTTTTAACCGTATACTTATCGTTTGTGGATGGGCAATCAATTGACTTCGACTACCTAGTTCTGTTTTGTCTTATGTGGAGCGACGAGTATGTGAGTAGCAGACGTGATTTATTCTCAAGCTGACAATCAGAATGTGTGAACCTGACCGACTTCCACACGTCATAGTATTTCGTTGCTTAGTGTTGTACAGTGTACATTTGAGAACTGGTATTTCATGTTGGATGGGATCGAATTGATTTTGCTTCCATTTGCAGTTATGGTGGCAACGAAATTGAGGCTGTGTAACAGAAGATGTTACGGTGTAGTCCATTTCACATGAATGATGATTTGTTGTATTCGTAATATTCCTAATATTTTCACTGTTGTACTTGCCGATAGATCTTACATAAAGCACTTGTGAAAATCTGGAAGCACTGTACTACTGTTTCATTGGATTATTGAAATTCTATAATCGAAATGATCTCTTAGATGCATGATTAGATTTGTGAAGGTAGAGCACGGTAGATGGTGTGTGTGTGATAAGGTGAATATCCCTTTCAGGACAACATCGCAAAATTGTTTGCGAATAAGATCATTATCATGGGAGGAGATGAAGGACATTGAACCCAGTGTGCAGTATAACGTTTTATCATTACTGAGAATTTGAAATAAATTAGTATTGAAGATTTGCCAATTTAAAAAGTCTATTTTTGTAGGAAACTTTTAAAAGATAAATTGTTTGTTAACTATTCGGTTTCATGTTGTTTCTGAGTAACTTGAAAACGAGTCTCACTGGTTATTAACTTAAACCTTACCAGACACAGAGTGAGATGTATAACACTATACTTTAAAGATACGTTGATGATAGTAACATTTGGCAATCTCATTATCTAGTGGTTTGTACCATGCATCATCAGTCAGAGTAGGATAGATTATTGTGATAATTTGGATTACTGGAATTATAGTATGAACTAATAATCCTAGCAATATTTAAGAAGTATTAGATGAGCGCGAAGGAATATACTGTATTTGAAATTCGAAATGGAAACCGTTATCAATTCAAAGAAATCATTGGTTTATATAAACACTACATCCGCCACAGCCTAACTTGGAGTGTAAGCGTAATCGATTCTACGTCTTCTTCTTAATTTCATCTTACATCTATTCGACAGTGTATCGGATATGGACCCTGTATTGTCTAGAATGTAATTGTTAGTATCAGGATTAACAACTGTAATTGGTAAAGACTAATTTGATTCCTGGAATAGTGTACAATCATCATATCGGTTGTGTAGTGAAACCACTGATATCTAGAATTTGCATTATAGACTTTCCAACACTATTCTTCCCCATGAAGTCAAGTTGGTTCCTTATGTCACAGTGTTATAACTAATATGACGTTCTGAATTTGCATTATCTTCTCAAATCTCGATTACTGTATGTGAATATTTGGGGATACACACTGATATATAATTTGAGGTATTCCATCCTGTGACTTTGACTTGAATAAAAATCATGACACCTATTCTTTTTCTTATTCATATTAGAATACACAAATAGATATGCATTGATATATGTAATTAACACATGTGATTCATCTAGGCTCGATTCACCTGCGAAACAATTAAATTGAAAACATGCATCTGCCTCATACTCATTAGGATAATCTAGGACCTGATTTGGATTCGTTGCCTGTGCAAACTCCATATCCGGGCAAACTGGTTCTCTGATTATTTCGGTAAATTTTGCTATCCCCTCTGATTCATCATACCCCTGACTAGGGATTCTATTCAACATAGATTGTTCGTGAGAGTATCCAACATC